TTCATTGAATCGGCAGCCGGCCGACCAATGGACATGTTTGATTAACCAACCCATCGATCAGTGAATGTCGTTCTTTTTTGAATTCATTGTTAAACACCCAGCAGCTAAGCTTCCGCGTCACGTTCAGAACTGAACCATGTCGATATGTTAAACAAAAATTTTACTACAAAAAACTGTTTTATTATTCGAAAAAATCGCAACTGTGCATCTTTTTTTTGATGAAAAAGTCCAAAAAGTTATTTTTCAACAAAATTAAAAAGTCGAAACCCATTTTGTAACCGTTTTTGAGAGACAGAGCTGCACGGAAGCATCTCGAAGATAGCAAATACCAACAGCAACCATCCACTGATAAGGCTGTCACTGACTTTTCCCTTTTGAATTTAGCAAAATACGAATACAGTGAACTTGAAATATAAGGAACCCATTCAGCGTTCAGCAGCTAAGCTTCTGCGTCACGTTCAGGCTGAACCATGACCAAATTTTACTACAGAAGACTGTTTTATTCGAAAAAATTGCGACTACGCATCTTTATTTAGTGAATAAAGTCCAAAAAGTTATTTTTCCACAAAATTAAAAAAAAAAAAACGAAACCCCCTTCATCACCATTCTGTACAGGAGAGGCGGGGGCACACGGAAGCATCTCGAGGATAGCAAGTACCAACAGCAACCATCCACTGATAAGGCTGTCATTGGCTTTCCTCTTTTAGTTTAGCAAAATATGAATAAAATAAATTTGAAATATAAGGGATTTTCTTGCTTCAGTGAAAGTTGTAGGGGATGAGATGAATAGTTTAGGTAACTTCTAGGAAAATATTCTATATGTTAACAGATATAGCGAGCACACACACTAAAGAAATATAAATTCAGCACGGGAAAGGGGACGAGGAGGGGGAAAGAAGGAGGAAAGGAGGTCATGTCATGGTCCATTTTATTATAGTAACAGCGATTACAGCCCCCAGCAATCGGCTCGGATTATTTTAGTGTGCGGGATTTTCCCAAGCGTTTGGTCTGGACTTTGAACATAGTTTTATTTCGTTCAGAAGACATACCATCTGGATATTTCAGATGTTTTTTTTTTGTTTGACAGGCATAAATTTCGTATCTTCAGACCATGTGTTGTTCTGTTCCAATGTTTGTTTTGATCATTATCTGTTCAAATAAAAAGCTTCAGCAAGTGATCTCTGTGTTCACAGATGTTATAAAATGTACAAAAACCTTGGCATATCACTTGTTCATCAAGCAGCACGCCCGGCATTTACGTGGCATCAACTCTCGGACAATGCAGCACTGATCGAAGCAATTGGAAAAGTTGTCATCTGTGTAGTTGGAGGAAACTATTCAATAACACCCAAGTATCATAACATATCAAAATTCCCCTTTTTTCCCTTTTGACACTTTGCATGTTAATTTTGCTGCAACCGTCACACTGACGAGGTCCAGTTGCAGCACTGAACAGGAATGTGTGAGAGTGAGAGTTAAAGGACCGAAACATTCCTATTCATATTTTTTAATCCGATTTATCTTATTTGCCCTCCTTTTATTCCTTTTTAAACCTTACTTTTTACATAAATACATATCGTCTAAAATTAAAATTACAATATCTGATTCTGAGAGTAAATATTTTTATGGGTTGAGGGGTAATTACTTGTGTGGTGGATCGTTGTGTGGCGTGATGCGCTGGCTGGTGGGCAAATTGGAAAACCAAATACATTTATGCCTTACTTGAAATAGAGCATGCAGTTGTGAAAATAATGCAGTATGTGGCGCTTGGGATCTGACGAATGTGATGGGTTGCCAGTGCAAAGGATTCCAGGCACTGGACAAGCGTATAACAAGAATTTAGCAGCGGCTGCTCAAAAGTTGATTAACCACAGGTTTCATAGCGCAGAAGACAGGGTCGCAGTGGTGGTTGACAATGGGTTCCGTGGGGGATGAATCTGACGAGATAACGTTGGCGTAATCAGCTTTAGCTGATGACTGTTAAAGAAAGCTAAGGTCCCGATGAAAAGAATGGATGGTTCATAAAAAGACTTGAAGTCCATCCCATAAGATGATATAATGATTTTGGAGGGGTTTCGGGACACATGGAAAAACGTAATAAAAGGGAATGATAAGGGAAGGAGGAAAAGCGGATATGTGTGTTAAAAGAAGTGTAAATAAGAGCTTATTACAAGACGCTAGAAGTGCTCCGTCTTGGCATCAGGTTTCTGCTTCACTGGATGGCAGCTACCAGATACCTTTGGTATGAATGCGACAATGAGTGGATGGTGAAGTAAAGGTAGCCCAGGAATGCAAAGAGCGCTTCTTTTAAAGGTAGCCCAGGAATGCAAAGAACATTAAACGTTAATTTTTGTTCTTGCTTTCGCTTTCTTTCATCATTAATCAAAATTAGACCTATGGCTCTTTCTTTTCTTCACAAAAGTCTTGTCTATGCATTCATCATCTAATCACCCTTTGTATGAGAGTGAAGCGTCAAGCGGACTGCAGCATCCAGGTTGACCCTGGAAGTACAGATGGCGAAGGTGTGAAGGTGTTCATGAGAAAAGAAATAATGTAAATTAGAGGAGGTAAGAGCGAGATAAGACGTTTCAGTCCATTGAGTCATGCATGTCTTAACACTGCGACTGAAGAACAGGAGAGAGAGAAAGAATTAGAAACACTGGGATCTAATGAATTAGGAAAGTCGGAATGAAGTGATGTATGAAAAAATAATTGTGCATGTATAAAAAGGATTAAGAAACAAAAAGAATGTAGGTAAATCTCGATTGCGGAGGTTTTGTGGCTGAAACCGTAGTTGCAGGCATTTTTGCTTCGTTTAGAAGCAGCCATGTCTAGAATAAGTAATAAGCGGATATGTAAGCCAAGAGGAGAAAAACAAATCGAGAATGCAACGCGGAATACATGAAAAACCGGAAAGAGCGGGAGTTATGCGGACAGGCAGTGTATCAGGCGGCAACAGTGTGTTACAATGGGAAGGAAGTATTTGGCCGAGTGGAATCTGTTTTTACGCATGAATGCATAAAGCAGGCGGTGAAGACGATCAGGGGGAAAACCTTTAACAGAGTAATCAAGAAGCAGACGACGAGCCGAAGAAATGAGTCCTTGAGAGGACTCAATGCGTATCTTGTAAGCTGACTATAAATGGGCCTGATACTGTAATTGTTGTAATGATGGCCTTTGGTATTGACGGCAGCTGGCAAGGGCACGAAGGGGGTCTGAGATGAAGCCGTCCCCGGACGGGATAAGGCAACTATAGAAGCTCTCCTTTCCCCCACTCACGGTTCTTAGTTTCGGCTTCGACCAATCAGCTCCTCCATTCTCGGCACGCAATTCGACATATGGTTCAGCCTTCGCTTCCCAAATCTATCGTTTCGAAATCAACAGAAAGCTTACCAATTTTAAAGGTCTTGGACCCACCCT